CTGGTGGTCTGGTGTCCTCTGCGTCTTTGTAGTGTGGAACCAGGTGGCTGCCTATCTGCAGCGGGGTGATTCGGTGTCTTCCGTGCAACTCAGGACCTCCGGAAGGGACTTTTAAACTTGAGCTATTTCTTCCAGAAGAATACCCAATGGTAGCCCCTAAAGTACATTTCATGACCAAAATTTATCATTCTAATGTAGACAAGTTGGGAAGAATATGTTTAGATATTTTGAAAGATAAATGGTCCCTAGCACTGCAGATCCGCACAGTCCTGCTATCCATCCAGGTTTTGTTAAGTGCTCCTGATCCAGATGATCCATTAGCAAACAATGTAGTGGAGCAGTGGCAGCCATAGAAACAGCCAGAGCATGGCCTACGCCATATGCCACGAGCAATATTTAAGTCGATCTGATCATCAAGTTTGCATCACTTCTGTTCTGCCAAGACTCCTTCCTTTTTGTTTGCATTTAATGGACATGGTCTTACAAATATTACAGAATAAAAGCCCAGACATTTTTAATTTTTTGGTGATTAAATGTACATATGAAATCTAAAAAAAAATTTATATAAAGTATGAGGTTTGAGTAGAGATCCAATTTTCACATATGGGTGTTTAATAGTTCCAATACCACTTATTGAAAGGCTAATATTTTTAAATTGAACTACTTAGTCCTTCGTAAAAACTGAATTGGTCATATTTATGCATGCCTATTTCTGGATTTTATTAAGTTCCACAGATCTTTGTGTCTATTTCTTAGCCAATACTACATTGTGTTTTTGACTAAAGTAAATCTGAAAATCAGATAATATGGTTTCTTCACCTCTGTTTTACTTTTTTAAAAAGTTGTTCTTTTTTAGTTCCTTTGCTCTTTGATAAACATTTTGGATGAGCTTATTTACATCTACAAAAAAATTCTACTGGGATTTTGATTGATATTGCCATGAATCTATAAATCATTTTGGTGAGAATTTACTGCTTCACTATATTGAGTCAGTTAATGAACATATTATGATTGTCCATTTACTTTGGTCTTTATTTCTTTTGTTGGGCCAGGGATTTAGCTCAGTGGTTCCGCTGCCTGCCTCCCAATCACAAGGTCCTGAGTTCAATCCCCAGTACAAAAAAAAAAAAAGTGTGTCATTTATTTCTTTTGTCAGCATTTTGTAGTCTTCAGCACAGATACACTATGCATGCTTTGTTAGGTATATACGTGAGTGTTGTATTTACTGATGCTGTTGAAATGGTATTTTAAATTTTTTTGGTTTTCCAAATTGATAGCTATTATATGGAAATATGATTTATGTTTGTATTGACTGTATCTATCACGAGCTTCTGCTGAGCTCATTTATTAGATCTAGGAGTTTTTTGACATTTCCTTAAATATTTTAACGTAGATACCTATGTCTTATGTGAATAGGGGCAATGTTGTTCTACTCCACTATGTAGGCTTCTTATTTATATTCTTATTTTATAGTCTTATTCTTTACTTTATCCTATGGGTAAGAATTCCACTACAGGGCTGGGGATTTAGCTCAGTGGCACCACACCTGCCTCACAAATGCAAGGTCCTGAGTTCGATCCCCAGTACCAAAAAAAAAAAAAATTCTGCTACAATTGTGAAAAGAAACAGTGGATGTAGACATTTTTGTCTTAGATTTTTTTTTTTTTTGGTACCGGGGACCAAACTCAGGACCTTGCACTTGCAAGGCAGGCGCCGGAAAACCTGAGCTAAATCCCTGGCCCCTTTTTGTCTTGTTTTTGACCTTGGGGTGAAAGTATTTGGTCTTTGATATTAGTAGTAGATGTTAGTTGTAATTTTTTGTAGGTATCATTTATCAGATTAAGTTTCTATTTTTTCTTTATATGAGAGTTCTTAACCATAAATGAATGTTGTATATTATTGCCAAATAACATTTTCTGTTAGGTTAAGATGATTATAAAACTATTAAGTCTGTTAATATCATTTATTACACTGATTTATTATGACACACTGAACCAGCCTTGTGTTCCCCAGAAAAACTCCATTTAATAATGGTATTTAGGGGTCACTGCTCCTATAACCTCCACTCTGCTCAGCCTCTGGGTGAAATAGAAGGGAGAAAAATGTGGGAAGAGAGGGGAGAGAAGAGAAGATCTGATCTCTAGGTGAGCCATCAGGACTGTGAAATGGACCAGCTGTATAGAAGAAAGAAAGAAAAGCAATCCCTTTATGTGAAGAGTGGGTTTCTGGGGCTGTAAGTCTCTGCTGCGGTTTTATGTCAAATACAAAACTCAGCTTTGCCTCCTGGGAGCTGTGTGCGCTGTGGCAAGACAAGATGCTGGCTTTACTGAGTGAGTTTCTCCACTCCCTGCCTACATCCTTGCTCCATACACCTCTTTCCCCTTCATTCGAGCAGCTAGGCATGCGTCACCCTCTAGTTAGAAACCAGGGCTGCAAATCTAAGAGTATTAAGGAGAAAAAAATGCAGTCATGCATCAAGTACCAGGCAGAATGATTCAGATACATACTTCCCACTGAATATAAAGACACCCAGTTACTGAGGAAAGGAGAGAAGACTAAGAATAAAAAAACCAAGACACTAAGCTGGAAGGAGTACATCCAGGGCCTCAGACCTGTGTGGAATGGTGACTGATTCCTATGCGACAACTTCTCCCTACTGGTCCCAGACCTGTTCTTCTTGAGTAAATCAATCCCAGGGGGAGAGGCCCACATTCTGAGCATTCGTGGTAGATTGAAGGGAAAGTCTGACCCAGATTACAGCTGACCATAAATGACCAGTTCAAAATCGCTCTCTGAGAAAGTAGTAGCCTTATACACCCCACCTTGGAAAAGAAGAAAGAGGGACCCAGGTGTGGTGACACACACTTGTACTAGGGAGACCGAGGCGGCGTCACATGATGGCGCTCCTTTCTGAGAAAAGAGAGAGAGAAAATCAAACAAAATCAAACAAAACAAAACAAAATGGCGAGGGAGGGGAGTGGAAGAAGTCAAAAGAGAGGGATAGAGAGTGGAGAGGAAGAGAAAGGAAGAGAAACAAAAGGAACATAATTTTTTAAAAACAAAAGAGCCATAAAACAAATAAATGAGAAGAAATGGTCTGGTTGTTGTTGTTGTTGTTGCTATTGTTGTTCTGTTGTTTTTGTCCTTATTATCTTTGTTGTGCTAGAAACTGAACCCCGAGCCTGGGCACTGAACTCCATATCCAGCCAGCCCATTTTTATTTTTGAAACAGGGTCTCATAAGGCACTAGGTTGCCCGGGCTCAGCTGGAACTTGTGAGCTTCCGGCTTCAGCCTCCCAGAGTGCTGAGATTGCAAGTGTATGCTACCATGCCCACCTGAGGGCCTATTTTTGAGGGGAGGGAAAGCTAAGGAATAATGTGAATGAAAATTTGTGTAAGAGCTTTGGACAGGGGATTAGGAGAGCCATACCTCCCGTTCTAGGCAGTCGCTAGCTGACTTTCTGTGTCTGATATTTTCCTGTTCTGGGCATGTCACATAAATGGAACCATATAGTATATGGTATTTTGTGAATGGTTTCTTGTCCTTAGCATAACATTTTGGTTTCATCCATGCCAGGCTTCCTTGAAGCCCAACCTCAGGAGGAACAAGATGCCTCATTATTTCTAAGCGGTTGTGGAAGCCAAGGTTCCTCCAACCTGGTCTCCATGGACAGTGTGGGAAAGGGTGTCCTAGCAATGGGAGAGCTCATTACCAGTGGTTGCAAGACAACTCCCATGTCCTAACTGAATCTTCTTTGTCAACACTATTGGTGGCGTGTGCCAAGCAAAGGCCTTGGTAGAGCCTGCTGGGGTTGTAAATCTGGGCTCATTACTTAGATTCTGCTGTTTTCTTGTGGTGAAATCATAGTTTTAGCCTGTGATGTTTGGCTAGAGTAAGTATTGTCTAAACGTTTTCTTCCTTACTGGGTTGTGCTTTTTCTGGTCCTTGAAATTGACAGCAGTTTTTAATCCAGGCTTTGTCTGTGCCCATGGGCATTTCCAGGTCGCTGCTTCTTCATTCCAAGCAGGGATAAAGAGGCATAAAGAAAAACCAGGGGCCCCACCAACCATCATTCCTTGGGTTCCAGGATCACAGGACAGTTTACCTTATTTCTACGCTCAGAGTCTTCAAGTTGTGATAATTTCTCTCTAGTACTAATTTTCCAAATGATTCTTTATCATAAATTGGTGTTAGGTTTTGTCAAATGTTCTGTTTTGTGTCAAATTACTATGATTACATGATTTTTTTCAGTCTGTTGACATGGTAGATTACAATGGTTGATTTTCAAATGTTGAACAAGTTTTGCACACCTGAACGAATCCCACCTAGCCATGGTAAGTAATCCTTTCTATGCCTTTTTGATTTCCATTTCCTAATATTTTGTTGAGAATTTGTGTGTCTAAGTGCATGAGAGCTATTGGTCTTGTGGTTTTCTTTTTGCATGTGGTCTTTGACTATCTTTAGGATCAGAGTAATAAGGGTTGAGAAGTATCCACTTCTCTTCAATTTTCTAGGAAAATTTGTCAAAAATTGTATTATTTCTTCCTTAAATATTTGGTAGAATTCATCTGTAAAGTCACCTGATACTTGAGTTTTATTGGTGGGGAGATTTTAAACATTAAAATTAGTTTCTTTTCTTTTACTTCGTGTGTGTGTGCGTTACTGAGGATTGAACCCAGAGCCTTCTCAATGTGCTACATCCCCAAACCTTTTTACTTTTTTGATTTTTGTTTTTGTTTTTGTTTGTCTCTAAAATGTAAGACCGTGGGTCTTATCAAACGCTCCGAGGAGCTGACTGTAGCGAAGAACACCCGGGAGGGAACACACCGGACAAGTTGGAAAGTAAAACAGACTTTTATTAGCCTGGCCAGACGGCATTCCCAAAGCAAAGTAGCTTAGAGAGGCAACTGGCTCAGAGTCCGGGGCTGTTTTTATAGGGGGTTGAGGGGGAGGTTAACATGTAGATTTAAGAGAAAAGAAACAAGGGTTAGTGGTCGACTGTCACGTATTGATGGTCGGCAGACACACACACTAATGGTCACGACTGTCATGTACTGATGGTCGACAGACACATTAATAGATTGTCCTACAAATAGTGGGTCCGGGAACGTCCGTTCTCCGGGCAAACAAAGAGTTAAATAATTTACCTTTAAAACTCTATGTCTTTTATAAATTTTATCTAACTTCCCAAAACTAACAAGCTTCTTAATCATTAACTCACATTTAATTACAGTCAGGGCTATAAAAATTTTAAGATTATAAGATTTTTACAGTCCCACAAAACCAAGGATTAAAGTGTTCTAAGATCTTTGTGCAGTTTGAGAGCCCTGAACCCTAACCACTAGACTGCCA